ATTAGCAGCACTATTTTCTCCTCACTATGTTTTTTTATCACAGACAATAAATTAAACGTGAATATTACGCTCGAGTTTTATAATTTCTACATAATTTATCTAGTTTCGCGTAATTTCACTTATTTTTTTAATAGTTGTTTCGAACTACTATAATATAATTGTAAAGGTATTAGGTAGGGTATATTAGGTAGTCTGAATCATTAAAAACTAATTGAATGTTTTGTTATGAAATAATCACAGTGCAGTTATCTTTAGCATGATCGTAACTCCATTATTTCCCCTCAAGTTGGCGCACGCATGGAAAATAAACAAACACTGTTTTTTTCCATGATTCGGTGATGCAAATGATGCAATAGACCAGCAATTCTAGTTCTTGGCTTCTTGCACACTGCAGGTCTGCACTCCTGTATTTAAACGCTCCTCTGCACTCTCAACAGTCTCAACTCAACTCTCAAGTCTGCACTCTACAGGCTGCAGCAATGCAGTAGCCAGTCGCCAGTGCCCAGCAGACAGCAGTACTGCAAAGTGCCGAGTGGCGAGTACTACCACTGCTACCACAAAATAGATTAAATAGCTAATGCCACAATTGCAGCAGCCCAGTTTTACCAGCATTATTTACTGTTTCTGTTTCGACATTCATAAAAATAGCTAAGAATCATTCAACACTTAACTAAACATACTAGCTCTATAGTGACGTAGTTGAGTGAACCATCTGTCCTCTCTTAAAGTATTTTATTAGTCTTTTATTAATCACGGATATAAGAAATTATTAAAATAAACATAGATTATAGAATTTATTATTTAAATAGCCCCTCCCCCTTGATTGAGTTCCAGCTACGCTACCGGCCAGCTATGAGCCTCTATGGAAAATTAAATTTTTTATAATTTTTGAGATAAATATGCAATGCTTAATTGATTAGTGGACCTCGGATGTCGGCAACAAGTAACAACATGTCTTTTAAATATTTTTAAAGACTCATGTAAAATTGTTCTATTATTTTAATACCTAAATAAACATTTCCACTGTAATTTATTTGGACCCAGTKAAAACTGGCAGATTCGGTAAAAGAAGTCAGAGAACAAAAGGCAAAAAATAAATACTGATAAAAAAACAATTATAGGTACATTATAAAATGTATGAATTGCAAGCAAAAATAACATTTTAATAACCGTAGTTTTGTGGTAATTAGGGATCGGAAGTTATCAAAGTTGCATATTATCCTACAGAACATATAATGGTCTTGATTTATAAGCAGAAATCCAAATTCCGATAAACGCATTAGTGAGTTAAAAAATACAAAATTTAAATGTATAATTTGCCTATTTTGTCAATTTTAAGGGGAAAGTGCACATATTTCTTGATTTGTAATTTGTATATGTACATTAATGTATAAATACTGTAATAGTGTAATGTATAAATTATGCATATAGGTGAATTTTAATATTTTCTAAAAAAATTATCTTTTTTGTTTTTAGCTATGATTTGTGTTTTGTTGGTAGTAAATATTAGTTTTAAATTTTAATCTATAAGAAAAAAATAAAATATTTGAAAAACCTGTTTATATAAGTATACCTATTAATTAAATTATTAATTGAAATTATGAAAATATAATCATTTTTTTCTATCTTACTATAATAAAATAAAAAAGACACCGAAATATGTAATTAAAACCGTCAAGTAAGCTTTTTAAAAATTTATTACAGTCAACTAATTTCACTTTCTAATCAGAAAAGATCCTGATGTACCTACTTGATGTAGGAAATCGAAACGTTTTTATTGTTCTAAAAGGTAATAATAAGTAATGATAGAACATCACTTAAAAAAATTACAGAATTGTAAAATTAATACATTCATCGTTCAGCTGAGAATTTCAAAAACTCTTAAATCGATTATGTTTTTTCACAATATTTTTAGCTATATTCGTTTTAGTTAACAAGTTGACCGCCATAAGTATCATATAATATGATACACGTACCTACAACTTTATACCAGCTAGCTATGACTTTATACTTGTCAATTTTGTCTCGAGTATATCACATTATTTATGCAGTGTTGTGTTTTACTAGATAGTTGTATTTTTAACTAATACTTTATCTAAATAAATGGGAAATATTCAAATATGTTATTTTCAGCTGTTATAGGTATCAAAACAAATAATTAAAAACCTAGGTAAAATTTAATTTTTAAATGTTTATGTTTTAATAAATGATAATTTGGTATTTTTATCTGATCACAAATTGTAAACTTATATTTATACATAATAGGAACAAATTATCATTTTAATTATCAGTTAGGTACATAATTTATAAGTATTATAATTTACAAATATACCAATACATATTTTTCATTTTAAAATTATTAGATTTATCAAGTAAATATTTTAAATTTTCTTAGTAATAAACTAATAAATAAACGTATCTTATAATAGGTTTTGCCGTTTTAGGTTAATTATGTATCAGTGTCGTATTCATTGACGTTCAAGTGTTCAACAGGTCACCCGTCACCCGCATTTCACATTTAAAATTTGAATTGATCATAAATCAAAATTCAAAATGATTATTGATTAATAAAATAAAGTATAATAATAAGTATTTCAGTATAAAACTAATATTAATGATAAAATAAAATACGATACTAATTTTAGCATTTCAATAACGTCTACATGAATAGTACCTAGGTATATTATACATCTGTATATTGCGCAAATGGTTATAATATATATTCGTGCTCACTGCACACAAGTACATGGTATTGTCGTATACTCGTATTGGGCATAAATCTTATAATAATGATTCAAACAATACTTAAGTATTTCAAGTTTGGATGTTTACATTATCTATTTATAAAAATAAAAATGATTCATTTCTAATTTTAAATGGCTTGTATATTATGTTTTTTACGTCTACTGTAAAATCGTGTTTTCTGACATGAACCCTTTTGCACTAGTTAAGAGAATCATGCATGATAATTACTCAGGGCTTGTAAAACTACCGAGTGGACATATGAATATGATATATTCATATTCAAGGTGTTCATGGCAATTTGAGTGAAATTGATAGAGAAGTAAACATAGGCGCAATTTTGGGGGTGCCATGCACCCCCAAATTTTTATTGGTTATAAACTTATAACTTATGATTTTATGTAATAGGCATTTTTAGGAGATAAATTTATCACTTTGGTCAACTTATATCTAGCACCCCCAAAAATCTAACCCGAATTGCGCCTATGGTCAAGTCAACCTGTTTAGAACACCAATACACACGTATAATGGAGACCTGATGAGTGATAATATCTATTTTTTTTTTAAATATATAAATGTATATTTATATAGAAATAGGAAAACACTATAAACTACTACATTACTGTATTTTGATTACTTGAATTTACGATTTATCAACATTGTATGTTTGTATGCCTGTATGGAAAACTTGGTATTTTCATATTTTTTAGATTCTTAGTGGAGCGATGAATGTATTTTATCTTAATACTAATCTTCAATAGTTCAATATGAAATTATAAAAATGTAATAATAATAAAATATCACAAATTATTTTACATAATTAATGCAAATGTTATAAGAGATGTTTAAGACAAAAAATAATAATTGAAATATAAGTATACCTATAAACATTATATAAGTTTACAATTTTAACATATCCTCTAAAAAAAAAACGATTTGAAATTATCTTTTTAATTTTTCAATATAGTTTACTTAAATGAAAAATAGTTTGTTTTAAAGTATTTATTATTACCATTGTTAATGATTGATAATTAAATGTACTACTTACTTAAACTGAATATCCAATAAATGGTGGAAAGTATCATTGAAAAAGAAAATAATTTATGAGTTAAAATAAATTTAACTATTTACAACACAAAATAATATAAATATTAATCGTGGCACAAAAATATTTTTAATTTAATAAATGTATAAGATAAAGAAAAAGACACTTAATTATAGTTATTTAATACATGTACGTAATAGATTATTAGACTAATAAATTTTATGAACATTATTTCACTATTTCAAACTATAAGAGTCTTTAATTATTATGACTAACATATATATTATTTCACAATTTATTTTTCTTAAATAAATAATAAAAAATAAAATATCTATAAGTACCTATTACAAAAAAAAATATTTTTATCATAATATATGTGATGAAAATATTCATGTGTAGGCAATTAACAATAGAGTCTTACCTTTCATGAATATATCAGGAAGGATTTATACTTAAATATAGATATATGAGTAAAAAAAAAACAAATAATTTTAACCTACAACAAAGAAATATATAAGATAGGTAAAGTAAGGAGTTTTAATATTATTTTATATCACATATTGACATTGTATTGTTTAATTTAAAATCAAAACTAAAATAATTGTTCGATATGACTGAAAATTTGTTAAGCACAATATATAATAATTGATACAAGTACAAGTCAAGTTCAAAAAATAAACAACTAAACAGATATTTGTTTGAAATATTAAAAAAAAACAAATATTTAATACAGATAAAGGAATTGAGCGATTTTTATAAATTGTAGGAAAAAACAAAAGTTTTGTGTTTCTAAATGTCGTTATACTTGTGTATTCAACTTAAAAACAAAAAATAAAATAAAACATTAACATGTAAATACATTTGATAAAAATTATTTCCTTATTTAAATGCAATTATTAAAAAATATAGTTTACATCATATTATATTTATAAATTTAATTCCATAAAGAAATGATAGTATGAACAGTAAAAAAAAAACACAGAACAAATAATCAACTTGTACTAAATTTAATATTCATAATTTAAATATAATAATAGGTATACACAAATGATTTAAGTGAAATATATCTAAAATTAAATGATAAATACAAATTTATTTAATTAACAAATAAAATATTAATTGAAATAAAGAACCAATTTCATAACAATTTGTTACTAACATAAATTTTAGATATATTTCACTAAATTGAACTTTCATACAATTTTATAAATTATAATAAATAATTTGAATTGATGGTTGAAAGAAAAAAAAGATACTGTTTTATTGTAACTTTAATCTTTATGAACAATTAACCTTTATTTATGTTTATTGACTTATTGTTTGTTGGTATTATTTTTACATTTTAGACATTAGTGTATTAACCATAATATGCAGAACTATTATCATATATTATAATTTATAAACAATAGCGGGTTATCAAAGCAATGTTTATGGTTTAAATGCATAGATACACTTTAAGCACGTGAGCAAAAAACTCATACATATAAATCAAAATTATAAATGCCAAAAAAGTCTATAAATTAATATACATTTTATTGCTTTCATGCAAAATGTGTTGAAGAGAAAATTAATAAGAAGACACTATGCATTTGATGTCTTCATTTTACRAAAATATGATATGAAATTTAGTTCACTACATTGAATAGTGTATTGTTAGTTTTGATATTTTGCAGGGTTCTTACGAGGCATTAATAATGGTGTACCACATCATGCTACCTTCATTTGTATCCCACAACTGAAAATCAAACATGTTTGATTCTATCATGCTTAGGTCGAGTGACTGAAATGGTGGTTCACCCTTGTGATTCAAGTCTCGTCAAATTAGGGTTAATTTTGAATTAGGGTAAATTCACCTAATATCAAACTTTTAGATAAGATAAGTTATCTGTGCTTATGCATTGGTGATTTTTTGATATTATAGGTATGGAAAATATTACAAATTGAAAAAAATCATATTGAAAATATCCCATGCATATATTAAGATAATTTTCTTAAAAAAACGTTGATAATTAATTTGCTCTAATATCAAAATTAACAACAGCACATTAGTGAATGGAAATTTTCTGTCATACATGAGTAAGACAAAGACAATGGATGGGTAGCGTCCTCCTAAGATTTGTAAAGATCTTAAGATCACTTTTTACATGATGACAACGATTTATCAAATATGAAAACTAATGGTTTTTACTCAATGATTATTACTTGTCAAAATAGTTCTTTATGTATATTCTAAATAGTAAAAAATACCTTTTTGAAACGATTGTTAAGTAGGTAACATTTTATTATTTTGATTCATAGTATATTACCCTTGAACATATTTACGAACAAAAATTAATGGATAAGCAAAAAAAAAAATTAAGTTAATATATCAATGAATTAATTAATAACAAAACTTGGAAAACCTAAACAGATTTAAGTATTTAAATATTTATTGACTTTTTTTTTTATTGCAATAAATAATCTGATCCCGAGGGAAAAATCTAGAATTGTTAAGTCTATTTGTGGTCACATGTTTTCTACCGTAGTAAATATACATTCCATATAGTAGTAAATACATCCAATATAATGAAGAACATTGTAGATTAAGGGGCATGATATGGAGAAACATACGCAGCTGGAAACAGTCCTTCTCTGGTGCCAATCTCACCTCGCCACCAATTTACATCAGTGCGATTTGTCACAGTTATAACATCTCCTCGTTTAAATGCTAACTCTCCCTCTTCTTGAGGTGTAAAGTCATACATTCCAATTACTAGCGTCTATAAAACCGCAATACACACATTTATTATTTAATAATATGTACCTACAATCGACTTAATTGATATTGTATAATATAATATAATAATAAATACCGGCTTTTGATTAAATCCATTTTGAGTTGCTGTTGGCATGTCCCTTAGCCTAACATCTTGTGAACGGGACACAGATGATTCTCGATGATAATCAACTAATTCATTTAAACTATCAAATTTCACCACCCACAGGAAGAATTTTGCTTGTGCATCTCGTAGAACTTTGAAATGTTGGACACCATCACCACATCTATTATTGAATATTTATTAAATTATAAAAATTATTTTTTGTGAGTTCAAGGCCACAATACAAAAATGTCTCAGAATACTAAAGGTACATATTGTATTGTAAAATATCTTTGCTCACTTGACAGATAGTGAAAAATCTCCAGGTGAACTCTCACTTATTCGTACCAGAAAACAACCCTCAGGCTGTTGGTCCAATAATTTCTCAGCATCTGCTCGAGTGATTTTTCCATAGTACCAACTACAAATAAATAAGGAATGGCAAATATTAGTAACACCTAAGCATTAATGATATTCTTATAAGGACACAGGAATCCGAAGCAGCATCACTCACTCATGATTTTTCATTTCTATATAATTACTAGGTATTAGTCCCTCTTTGCCCTCGAACTCAGCCCGAAACCAGTTGACATCGTCTTCCATGTTGATCACCTGAAAAAAACAACTGGAATTGGTCAGGTGCCTTGTACAGAGGCAGGTATCCGGCGGTGGCACGAACGCAATCCTAATCATCCAAATTGGCCACATTCGTCCACCACTCAGATCCGAGTGACGAGCACACGAAACTCACTCACCCTGAGCAAGCTACCCTTTTTGAAGCTCAGTTCGTCGGGCGCTGTGGCTTTGAAGTCGTGCTTGGCCGTGGCTTCCATCGTTGGTTAGGGGCGTCCGTTCAAAACATATATGTTATCGGCGCACGGAAACCACCGAAGGGGTGGGTGTATAAAAAAAAAAAACAACGGATTAACTGCACCGGAACTCGGAAGTCGGAATGCGATTATTTTTAATGTCGTATATGGTTCCCGTTGACGGACGAAACGGAACGGACAGAACAACAACCTTTGACGAGATAAGCGCGGACGGCCTCGCACGAGACACTTCGCGTACATAGGCGCGCACACACACTCAAACAGTCACGCGTACACACACATACAACTATACAAGACACAACACAACACACACGCAGCAACGTACACGCACTCGATCTCTCAGTCACACACACACCATCGAAGTGTCGAACGCGCGTGCGCCCCACTGGTTCACGGGGCGAGCTGATGGCGGGGGACAAAATTACAAAAACACCGCTCCGCTCGTAGTTCAATCACTGAAATCTGAATCACCAGCTTACTGATAGCGGCACTGGCTAGTGATTTCACGGTGATTTTTTTTGTTGATAATAACSTCTTGCACGGAACACTCCGCGAGTGACACAACGTAAATTACGTTTCCCGGGTTGCGCGTCTCGTCTTTTCGCGTGCCTCGTACTTCGTTACTCGTAAGCACATAACTCTAGGACGGATAACAACTAGAGGCAGTGGCGCGGGCTTGGCTGCCAGCATCCAGCCTGACTAGGATTTAGTTCCCTCGGAAATAGTTGAGTTTTTGGTCGTTCTGATTTTCGTGTAACCGGTAAATAAATTGTTAAATTTGAATTTAATATTAAAAAGGTTTGGATATAAGGAATTTTAAGAAATCAGTTTCTATTGTATAATTTCTGATGGCTCACGAATGTCACAATAGTGTAAGTATACCACAAGCATAAGAAACTACAAATGGATGGACGATAGACCATTATTGCTTCGCTCAGAATATTATTAAGTGTCTCATGGTAATATGGTGTATAATAAATTTACGTGATGGGGTGCGGTATCTGTAAGTTCAGTATTGGTGAGGGCTGCAGTACTAGCTGTAGGCTGTTGCATTCCCAGAATTTTAACCCTAATTGACTATGACTATTTTATGGAAGCACTACTGTAGGACTTTCAAAGATACCCATCTTGTTTATTTATTGTTTAGTTAATTCATGGAAAAATATGAAATACAGTACTTATTTTAGTCGCTGACAATACCTATACAAAATTGTATACGTTTACTTTTATCACTTTATTGAACAATAAACATTTAATTTTCATAATTAAACATTGTGCGACTAGAATAATTATCTTAGATTTTTGATCATACACAATAATACGATTATACGACTAGACAATATTGAATATATGATCCAAGATAATCATAAAAATTTATGGAATGTACATCGCCGCGAGACACGTCCATATCTGTCAAACTTCTATAAGTATAAACACTGTGAAGTGTGAAAAGTGTCGTGTACGATTCAGCGACGACTACACATCAAATATTCAAATTTTATCATATTTTTATTATTATTATTATTATCATCGTCATCATAGATAGTTATGTGTTATGTATTCGTTCGGGGCCGGTCGTCGTCGCAGCCGCCGTATACAAAAGCGGCATTGCCAAATCTCGTCGGGATTGTATAGTCGAAACGACCTTGAAGCCGTTTTGAACAATGCCCCCCAACAGGTCTCTCGGCACCAGCCGCGTCGCAACCACCACCGTCTACCACCGGCGTTTTATTATTATTTAATATTTATTTATTGTGGACGGCGACAGACCCCAGACACGACGACCATTATTATAATAATACATAATATTATAAATCTACGCGGATGCGTGCGCGCAACGCAACTGCACAGGTATAACGTACGTATGCATTGGTGTGGCGTCATTTCGGTATAAATTATTTCATTATTATGTATTCCTGTATTCGCCAGACTGAGAAAAACTCATCGAAAGACTGTAATATACACTTTGGCCGCGTAGCTGACTGTAATATTTATTGTGTGTGGTGCATTATTTAAATCTAAACCATCACACGTTATATTATAATTCATAATCGTTTTTATCATAATGCGAGCACATTTTTTTGAAGCCAATGCCTCATAAAATAAGGGCTAATTAATAACATATATTTATAGATGAGGTCCTTTACGTAATTGTCTAGCCCGTTACTTCGGCGGATGACCCCAATGACTCGTATACGGTAAACGTACATTACATGCGTTATATATAGTCACATGATATGTCTCGCCTGTTAGTTCAGCAGTAGGTAAGTACTTCTGCAGGGTGCACAATCTGTATTTCTAGCAGTAGTCTTAGTACTGTCCGAAATTGCAATTATAAAAAGTACTGTAGGTATTTAATTACAGCTTACAGGAAGTATCAATAATCAATATTGAATATTGATATATACCACACAATGCGTATAATATTAAATATTTTAAAATTTAATTAATTGTGTAAGGTAATATAGGTAATAGGTTGATAAKTTGAATATCATAGGTACTATTTTTATTTACGTGTCTTAAGGTAAAGAAATTGTAATAGTAATAATTAGGTAGTGTGGAGGACCACTCTTCTGTTTTGCTTTTCAAACTTTGTTATCTAGGGGCGTAATCTCCTAGACTTCAGAACTTCAATATCCTAATTACGCCCATAATTACAATATGGTTATAATTTGGAAATTTTCTTTAGCTTTTACAACAAGCCCTACAACAAATTACAATCGTTATTGAATGATTCATTAGATAATATAAAACTTAAAACAAACAGATAACATTAACCATATCATTGACATGTCATACTCTAAAGGCAGTAACTGAAAAACATTCGGAAAGCTTAATATTTTTTTTTATATAGATATACTATAGAGTATACTCATATTTTTAATATATAAAATATAAAAAGCTATTTATTTTCGTTATTATTGCTACGATGATAAAAAATTATTCTCAATACAATAGTCAAGAAACAATATTCATATCTAAAATTTCTACTTTTAAAAAATTTCCCGGGTGGTGAGAGGGTGTTTGGACTTCTGGATCCCAACCCCAATCAGTGTAGGTTAGAACCATAAATATTATCAAAGTATCAACGCGAAGTTCATAGCTTTTAACTGTATACATTCTATAATATATTTACTACAAATATAAATATAGTGCGCATATTTTTATATCTATATCATCTACCTATATAGTTACTTAGTTAAAATACATGATTTAAATATTATAGAAATACGTATGAAACTCTAAGTTTTTAAGTTATCACAGGGATTACATAAAAAAAAATTAAGTTTGATAGGTAACTACTAGTATTTATATATACGCAGTATAGTATTGTACCTACAATAAACCTATCTTTAAACTGTCTATCTTTTTTAAGCTTTAAACTCTATAGTAATTATTAGTTATTATTTATTAAATAATAGATATTGACATGACGTTTTTCCTTTACGGCGAATTGTGATTTTATGAATCATCCTGAACGCACTCACACATCGACACCGTACCACGGAATAAATTTAATTAAATTTACTCTGTGACCAGAGACAAGATCATAAAAATCCGATTTTACCTAATCAATGTTTCGGCATATATTCACATTGTACCATTTTGCACAAACATGTCACAGATCGCAGTGGCATCGTAATTAATTATAACACCAATGTACATTTAATACTGAATTGGCGTCAAGTTATGAGGTTATGATTACGGTCTACGACTTAGAGTAGTTTCTCTTGTACACGTATTTAATCTTAAATTTTGTCATGCTTCCATAATACTAGGTAACTTATATTAATTAGTAATTAGTAAAACTAATATATTTTTTACTACGATATTAAACTATAGACTTAAAAAGTTTACCTGTTAAGTAGATGACTAAATTTCGTAATTAATCATAAACTAAATTATGTATAATATTATAATATATATTTAAGTATTACTGTATTAGTGTAATAGTTTATCATAGGCTTATACAACAAGTATTTTCTGGTCCTGACATCGTTGGGTATCGTAAATCCGTAACCTAGTTGTTAGTATTCGTTATAAAAATAATTATACACTTGCATTGAATTTTAAAATTTAAGGGACTAATGGAATGTAAACCGTCTTGAAGCCTAAAATACATTTTAGTTTACCAAAGAACTATAATAATTTTGAGTCTATTTAAATAAATAGTTAATAATAATTTATAAATATTAGAAAGTTAAATTTAAATCAAAACATTTATATACTAAGGTAAAAACTAAAAACTAAAAAATACCTATAAATTAAATCAGGTAAGCTTATATAACTTTATGAGTATATTATTTGTTGTCATTATACAGTTAGCTTATATAAATAATAAAATATATTTATCAACATGAAAGATGAACAAATAAAAATTAAAACCGTATATCCTGGTTCCAAAGTGGTAAAATGAAATCGAGTTTTCTGAGTTCTAGAACCTGATATAAGTATTATTATTATGATTTATACATTCATGACTCATACTATAAATTGTAATTATATATTATGTTCTATAGTAGATGCAATGATAAATAAATTATTGTATAGAGTCATAACTTCATAATATTCATCATTACTCATAATATGTATATAGGTATACACTATACATATTACGTATATATTATATAAAACTTTTAAGTAAAATAGTAATATAAAAAAAATATATATACAATATATAATAGTATAACATAATACATATATTTTACTAAAATTAGGAGCTATAACAAATAACTTTTATTAGTTTATAATTCTTTTAACATAGGTAATCAATTAATTATTTAAGTAGTCAAATTCCATATCATGACTCCGACAAGTCGTCAGAGAAAATGAAAATACCTGGATATATCGTGTTAAATACCTACACTATAATAATTGACTCTAGCCTATATATATGTACACACATTAAATATGCAAATAGACTACCTATAGGCAGAGGCGTAATTAAGGAAGGATAAGGAGATAGATCCCCCAAAACTTTTTATCTTACTGCTAACACTTTATAATTGGTGCGTTAAGTTAAAGTACGAGGCTTACAGATTTTGCTAAGAATATATAATTCCCCCCCCCCAAAAAAAAACTCAATTCCTTATTACACCACTGCCTATAGGTAATAGATGGATCACATCATATTTTATAAGTAACAATATTATAATTACTCCTTACATTTTGTCATTTTGATTAACTATTAGTTAAAAATGTATACAAATGTGAACCAAGATAAAATCATAATTATTGTTGGTGAATGGTGGTAAATCCCTAAGATACAAATAAAATACTTACACCTACATACAACTATAGCATACTACTATATCAGGTACAACTATATAATATATT